CCGCCAGCCAGCAGTTCTCAGCACTCACTGTCCCCCCATCTCTCCCACACTGTCTCAGCTTACCTACAAGGTGCTGCACAGGACGGTGTGAAGACAAAGGGACGCAGTCGGTGCACAAGTGCAACAAGCGAGCTGCTCAGTCAGAGCTCCAGCGCTCCAATGAAGGGACGCAGCACGCACTGCTCCTCCCCTCATTCTAGCCCTTATGACATCACTGAGGGCCACCAGGCTGCTCCACCACGACGGACAGGGTGGGGAGGCAAGACCAGTCTCAAGGGCAGAAGATTCCAACAGCCCAGCCCAACGTTCTGGAATCAGGGGCTGCTTGGAATTCTACCCCAGCCAAATCCTGGAGAAGCTGGCACGGGGTCGTCATGACCAAAGCGCAGGACCTGGCGCTTGCTCTTGTTGAGCCTCGCACAACTGGCCTCAGTGCATCCCTCTGGAGGGCCTTCCTGCCCTCAGCCAGATGGACGCTTCCTCCCAGCAGCGTACCTTGCAGTGCTGGGCCCATGTCAAATCCACACTAGAGTGGGTTTTGTTACATTCAAGGGCATGTTGCAGCACCCATCTATTTCAACTGGAAGGAAATAAAGCAGGAGATGGGAGAAACACAGAACTGCTGCCAGACTGCTTTATCCCTTTCTCAGCCCAACTTCACTTGCCTCATCCCCTACCCCAACTCCTGGATGATGCCCACGGGCTGATAGTTGGATCTCAAGTCCATAGGACTCCTTTCACAGGACTCCATCAAAAAGGCTGTCACACTTGTTCCGTACACTCACACTGACCCAGCAGTGGTATCACAGTCACTTAACACACACACAACAACCAAACCCCGAGCATGCACATCCCTTCCTGCGTGACTGCAGCCCACAGCTCCCCTTCACACCCACGTGGATCTCTGGTGTTTTACACGGATGCAGCCTCGCTGCAGCTCCGTGGCTGTCACACAAGGCCTGCAGGACCTCTTTCTCTGCAAACCCCGTCTGCAGGCATTGGTTCACAAGGTTCACCTCCTGCCCTCCTGAGCAAAAACAAGCACTAAGAACAAGAGCAAAGCACGCTGGACTCGACCTGGCTGGATCCCCAGCCCTCAGTCCTGTCAGACGGACCCTGGTGTGGAGACTCATCCCCAAAGCCTGGCTGGACATCAGCACAGGCATCATTCTTCAAATGCCCCATCCAAGCAGCAAGGGATCAAAGCGTTGGCACAGCTGAAACAGAAATGCTGTGTGAGTTTCCTGTTAGCACTGAGCAGGAACAGATCTACTGCTGAGCAGCAGGATGTGAGACAAGCAGCAGAAGACACCCAACCTGCAGAACCAGCTCGTTTGGGGTCGGTCCAGATGTTTGTCTGCTCCCTTCCCTGGCCCAGGCCAAGCTTGTGAGCTGCTCCTCCTTGGTGCAGGGGGAAATGGTGCAGATGCCATGTGGTGGCTATGCACAGCATGCCTTGCACTTGCTTTTCCTCTCTCCATCTGCCATTAGCAAACAGCATCTCCAGCCTCCAGAGATCACTGAGTCCAACCCCTGCACAACACTGAAAACAAAGATATGATAAGGGGTACTTAAAGCACAGCATCGGTAATCAGATCAGACTCCTGCACTGTGAAGACTTCCATGAGTATTCCTGCAGAGTGCATCACTTAGTCTCTCTTTAGCCTTGTGTTCATGGTTTTCCTGTAAGAGCTTGTCTAAACACTGCCTATAATCGTGCTTATGCTAGAAGCATTTGGATTCATTGATCCTTACTGTGATTTCAATAACAAATTTAGATGTTTTTTGTTAGGGACAGCTTTCAATTTCCCAACTGAAATTTCAATATTGCATTAGGTGTTGACCACCACGGGGCTGCAGTACAGAGAATTACAGGAAGAT